TCAAAACCTCAGCTAGTATCAAACGCTACAGTGAAGGCAAACTTAATGGGAGCCTTTTCTAGTGATCTTCCTATTTGAAGCGAATTTATACTTGATTTTCACTTGTCAAAACAATCAACGTTACCTCGTCACAATCGGAGCCGCTTCCGTGTGCTCTGACCTGGCCAGCGGACTCACAGGTATTGGCGAAGTGGGCATTTTGACGACGTTCACACCAGTATTCGTCGTAGACGTTCCAGGACCACCCGACGATAACGGCAGTGGATGTTTGAGGCCTCTGAGGGACGATGGTCTCGATGAAACCAGAGGAGATCTGAAAAATGCCATGTGCTGCTCTGTCCAATAAAGCCATTTGAAAAAAGGCAAGGCTTTCCGAGACTAACCTATTTCAATCATCAATGCAAAAAAAGGCAATTAAACTCACTGGTTTTCCTCTCTTAATCCAACGTCAGACAAGCGCTTATGACAGACCGATTTTGCACCAGTGACCGACATGGGGTTCGTTGTAGAAGTAGACGGGGGTCCGACAACGGCTAGCGGGCCGCCGAGAATAGCTCCATCCTGACTGGACACTGATCTGAAAAAAACCTAATCATTAACACATGTGTACTCAACCTTGTCACTGATCACAATGAATATCAAGAAATTTGCTAAGCGTTCCATTTCAGACAATCTACTGCCCACTCCAACGCTTACTTTCTATTTGGTAGCTTCGATTTATGGTCATAGAAAAAAAANAAAAAAAATTGAAAAATTTAGATTCACTATGACCTGCACTGCTGTCTGCACAGCGAATACTGTGAGGCATGGCACACACCCAGTATATCAAAAATCATATAATATTCTGCTGACACTTGAAAAAACGACCTCACCTCGGCATGAATGTCTGTTTTTGGCTCGAGCTACCTGGTACGATATCATTTGTGGCACGTTTACCACTCAGACGTCGTAGAAGTGATGACGGTTTCCTGAAAAACTGTAAAATTTAGAAAAGGGATATCAAGGTTTGTTAGCACGAAGAAAAATGACCAGGCCTCTACCAGCGATAGGGATGATGCCTTTTTGCGAAGGTAGATCCCATTTCCAAAATGCGCCTTTGCATTTGCATTCAATATCGAAAAGAGGTATCAAATGGAATGTGTATCTAATGACCAGGAGTAGCCAGTCGATGTACGAGTCAGTGCCTTCATTCTCTTTGAAGAGGCCTTCACCAGTTAACGGCCTTGGAGGGATGGAAAGCTTGCTTGGTCCAGGCGTGTATCATTTAATGGTTCGAACTCGGACTATTCCGGACCGTGTGTATGATTGTGCACTACTCGGCACTACACCCATTCGGCGTTGTGACTAGTAAACCGTACCCTGCAAGCTGGCCAATGTTGCGCTAGTGATATACCGTGCCTTAACGATATGTATGGATCAGGATTTTTCAAAGACGTCCTTGTTTACGGTCGTACACATCCCAAACTTATTGCTACTCTAAGCATAGGCGATGTGCGCAAAATAACCTCTCGTTATCTATGATTTGGGAGAACGTAATAAATCTATTAGGCAGGTTACCTTGGCTTCTTTTCCAGAGGGACACGACGTTGTGGACGCTTCGGCTTCTTCTTCGCTAGTTTGCCCAGAGTCCTTCTCGGTGCTCCTTCTTTGATAGATGTGGACGCGAGTGGAGTAACCTGAAGGAGTACGTTCAGTAAAGCAAAGTCGGTGTGTGGAAGGTACTGCTGCAGAGTGATTCTGAAAAATCAAACCTTCAACGTCAATTCATTTCCGTAGCTGAGCAACCGATGCATGAGCTGTGGATGGGTAAGGTTGTGAACCGGTTGATTATTCACTGCAGTGATTAGATCATCGCTGCGTAAGCCAGCCTCGTATGCAGGGCTCCCTGCAAAGATAAGAATAAAATTGAGAAAGGAAACCATTCCATCAAAACTTACCTTCCACAACAGCTGTAACGATATGCTCGATCGTATAGTAGTCTGAGTGCTCACCCAAATATACTCGCACCGATTTCAAAGTGAAGCCAAAACCAAACGGACCCTTCCTTAACATGAAAAATGTTTATTTTGTGGTTGAAATGATGGGTATATAGTCAATAACTACCTTATTGTGATTGGTGGCTTGCCAAGTGACTGAGCAGGACTCAATTGTTCGCCATGATGCACATGTGACGAAGTGCCGTCAAGGGACGATGCTGACGAGGCCGATATGGCACCAGGTGACAGTTGCCCGGTGGATACCTGAACCTCGTTGAAAATGAAAGGCAGCGGCAGGCGACTACTGAGATACTCAAATCTTACCACATAGCAAGTGTCGTTGCTGCTGGAGCTTGCCTGCTGCGAGGAAGCAGAGGTGGTTGGTATGACCAGTTGTAGCGGGGATGGCGAATGGGTCTGTAACAGAGGGATTAATCGAAAATAAGCGAAAAGGCCAGAGCTCTGGCGCCTATCGAGAATAGGGAATCAGAAAAAAGGTAGACAAACTCACCCTGAACCTAACTGTCTCATCGACTGGCGAAAGCTCCTTGCAGACGCGCGACTCAGGTGTTGAGTGATGACGCTGCTCATCAGATGGATCGCATGAGATTGCAAAACGAGGTAAAGGTGATCTAAAAATTCCAAAAAATATTCGAAAAAACTGCAGACACCCAAGCATTCCTTGAAACCTACCTTCTGGCATCCATTCCCACAACTATCGTGCTCACATGAGACGAATCCATGCTACTATCCGTCGAAGAGCAAGCTGTATTCAAGCAGCCTGTACCTGTAGTTCCACTCGACGAGGTGGAAACGTTTGCTTGACGCTGAGCGGAGAAGCGCCGCCTCAGAAGCATAGCCTGAAAACACCACAGGACAGCATGAGCCATCTATNTATCTCAGGACCACTGACCGATTACCGTACGAAACTTAAACAAAACTTATCACTATCACTCCTAATGAATAGCCTCAGAAGCTGTCCCAGTTCTTCAGAATGGAATTTTGAAGGTGGAGGGAAACAAAGTACAACGAAAACTCTGAGAACAGGTGAAACTCCATTCTACTTACCGAGGGTATGGGGCATTCCTTCTCGTCGCCTATATCAGTAATCGATTGATCTTCACTCGACTGTGTGGTCGACGATGGTTTTCGGGAACGATTGGCCGGCTGCGGAGGTGTGTTCTAAAATTTTCCACTCATAATGAGATCAGACTTCAGAAGCCTCATGAGGAAACCTCAGAAGTTTACTTTAAACAGGAAACCCTACCTGTATCGCTTGAATCTGCTCCACAGCGACAATCGAATGTCGAGGGCTGGCCGTCGAAAACGAGTGGAACATTGGAGCCGCAGATACGACACTAGCAGCTTCTTCCTCGCCGCATGACTCCGCATCATGGTTGTAGCGGTCGGTACGAGCTGAATATCAGAACAATGAGAAACAACCATTCGTATTATACCTGATTGGTTTGATTCCTTCCCCTTCAATCCCCAGTTTATGCTTCAACACTAATTAAGCTGAAAAAGACCGAAGGATTCCCTACTCTTTGACTCCTAGCAGAAGTGAATTGGAGTCGCCACATTTGGATCACAAGAGAGTACTGGAGCGTCACAGCTACGTCT